TGAGGCCGTTCCCTCTCCTTCTCAGAGAAACAAGATTTAAACATATCTGTCAAATGCACCTCCTCTTCCTGAAAAATGTGGTCATCCATTCGCATATATCGTGCTATGAGTGATATTTTGATGTTTGTAGCATTCCGCTGCACGCTTTTGCCGCCGTGTTTTGGGGAATCCAGAGTTCGGTTCAGCATCCCTTTAAAGGGATGGTGAACCGAAATAGAGTTCTTCCAAAACCGACGCGCCCCATCGCGGCGGATAACACGCAGTGCACTCTGGGAACTAGTTGGCCACTCACCGCCGAATTCAGAAACCTCACTCAAACTCCACTCAAACTGAAGGGCCCCTCCACTTCCTCGAGGAAGGCGCGAGGGCCGGCGCTGGCCAATCTCGAGGACGGATCCATCGTCGCGATTGGTTCGTGCCGGCCCTCGCGCCTTCCTCGAGGAAGTGGAGGGGCCCTTCAGTTTGAGTGGAGCTTGAGTGAGGTTTCTGAATTCGGCGGTCAGTTTCGGTTTCGACTGAGCAAGTTCATCTCATCACGCCGCGACCGAACGCCCTGCTTGCGTTTTCGATTATTTTACTTTTTACGAATGTACAATGCACTCATTCCCGAGCGACACAAAACGGAGACCGGGGCACTTTCCTTGGTTCCCGAAACAGCGGATATTACGCGTGCGTATGAAAACGTAGTAAGACGTGGCTTAGTCACCTCACCCCACGAGTGCATCTTTGAGCTCAACGTCAGTAATCCCGTTTAGTACCAGTGAACTACAACTGAAACCTTGAGCCCTACACGTATTTCGTTTGCCGAACGTCCGTTTCTTGTTGCCTAATTGGGCGAAAAGCAAGCGGCATCCTTACAGGATTATCAAAGTTGAGCCCAGCGTTGGCGCATGAGCTTTTAAGAAAACGCAATAAATTCGACCTCACTACTGCACAAAAGTTACCATGATGTCTTTCTCGTTTCATGACATATGTCACACTCAAACTTTATGCTGATAAAAGATTAATTTTTCGCAAACGCTGAGATCGGCTAGCTACAACACAGGCCCTAACAAGCGTCCCCTACTCCTCGCTAAGCCTTTTTGGACCAGCTTTTCATGACGCCCAAGATCTGTGCCTGAACGGTGTGTCTGAAATTGTCTCGGCATACTCAGTCAGGAAGAAAGCAAACACATAACAAATATTATGTCCATTAGCAACCGTCAAATGCGCTTTGAATAATTTCGTTCGTTTGGCGCACCGCATAGGGGTTCATGCCCGTCCGGCGCACTTCCGGCGAACGGCGCGACATTCTTCACACAAGGGCTCTACTTTTGCTTTCTTAAGACGGTTTGTATGTGCGAATGTGCCTATATGATTGGCTGGATAACTTTATGCGCATACGCGATGTTGAATATTAGTGGAATGCAAGCGGGTGGGGACTTCACTTCTTGCAGTGCTGCGGGGCAGTACAAATAAGAGATGAGAAGTGTGTTCAAATGGAGCTTTTCAATGGCGCCTCCGAGTTTTACCTCGCGTACTCAGGCGTATTAAGAAAAACAGTAGTTGCAAAAAGTTATATTTCGTCTATGGACGCACGAAACAAACTTCCTGATCAACAACACTAATGTAGAGGCGCGAGCTCGATTTATGCATATATATCTACAGCTTGCTGATTCGTACACAGGCAAGATCCCCGAGCTTCGCAGCGTCGAGATTCTCAGCACTAGCTTGTCCACACACCTCGAAACGCTAACAGAAAGGCTCGAGTGTGTGTTTGTTTGTGATGTGTTTATTTCAGTCTTTCAACCTATACGTCTCGGGCTTGTGCTAAAGCTTCGAGGTCTGGCCATTTAGGTTAGTTTAGAGCCCACAAATGACGCTCTCGGGACCAGAAAACGTGAGATAACGGCCGTTAATAGTCCACGCTCTGTGTATAATCTTTTGTCGACGTGTGGATCGAAACCGAAACCATGCCACTCTCCTCCCTGGCCAACTAGTTCCAGAGTGCAACCCGCGCCGTGTGCAGGGATTTATGGAAGTATAGCCTATTTGGATTTCAGAAAAAAAAAAACATGCAGGAGATGTAGGCGGGACGCTACATTCCCTACAACACTACTAGTAAGGCGATATCTCAAATTGACGGCCGTATTTTTTCAAAAAAAAAAAAAAAAAAGAGGAGGCGCATTCGACATAAATCTTCACGTCATGTTTCTTCGAGAAGGAAAGGGAACGGCCAAGCGTCTTCTCCGCCTCGCGGCCCTGAGGGAGCGAAGAGAAGAGAGGAGGAAACAAAATATCTTCACGTCACGCGCCTCGCCGGCCTGGTACAATCTCAACCTCTTCCCCCCCCCCCCCCCCCCCCCCCCCCCAAAAAAAAAAAAAAAGAAAAAAAGGCCGTCTATTTGAGATATTGCCTTACGAGTAGTGTAGTAGGGATTGTAGCGTCCCGCCTACATCTCTTGCATTGTTTTTTTTAAATACAAATTTCGGTTAAAATCTCGTGGTGACTCAAGTTTGAATCTGTACGCAGACTGTCATTTTGTATAATGTATAAGCAGTGGAAAAAATTATGGCGGTGAGATGCGACCACCTCGCAATGATTTCGCCATTTTTTTTTTATAAGTTTCATGATAATTGTTGGTACTGATTTAAAAGGTGGGGCGTTACCCTGTAAACGCCTAGTGTTTGACACATGTAGCACAGACCACCGTATCCCATTATGCACCTTGTGATGTAAGCTTATTAATATACAAAAAGACAATGGGATCTCAAGAAAAATAACTCAGGTTTATTTATAAAATCCAACCTTGTTCCAACCTGGTTTATTCGGTAATTCAAACTGGTATATTTAGATTCCAAGCCTTGCATTTTTTTTTATATTATACGCGATGTACTTTGCGATGCAGTGGCTTCAAGCTGTTTCTTTCGATACACTACCCTGTTTATTATATTCATTCCCACGTTGACCAGGAATTCCCGTACAAACTTCTCTATTACAATCTTAGATATTTTTTTCTGTTTTATGGTCATCTCTTGTAGCGCATATCAAACTAAAAAAAAAAAAAAATTAGCTTCGTACAGAAAAAAAAAAGAACAACTATAGATATTTTCCTGAGTACAAACAACCAGGCTGAACTTTGTTTCTTTTCCTTTTTTTATCTCCGCACGATGTTTGATGTAGCGTTTCGATCCTAAGCACAGGGTTTGATACTACAAAGGTGCAGTCATCATGTCATCCTTCTTTTCATATTTTGTTATTTTTTATTACGTAAATTACGAAAATGATATTGTCGTTTGCTTGTACGATAAGCACGTTTAGGGCAAACATTATGGCGATAAGATACGACCGCTTCGCAATGATTTTGCCTTTTTTTTATAAACTTGGCAATATTTGTAGGTACTGATTCTAGATATAGGTAGTTTTCTAGTAACCGTCTAGTTTTTGGCACCATGTCGCACAAACCATCACATCCCTTTATGTAGCTGGCACTTTGTGATGCAACTTGTTATGCAAATAGACAACACGATCTAAAAACAATAATTCTAGTTTATTTATAAATTCTAACCTTATTCCAACCTGGTTTCTTCGTTATTTTAACTTTCAACCTGATTTATATACATACTCCAAACCTTAAATGCTATAAACATCTTTTTGTTTTTTGCTGACCTAGGCAGCTTGTTGAGAAAAATCCCCCCGCCGTCCTTTTCTGCGACCAAACCCGTACCGAAAAGACGGAAAAACAAAAATAAACGTAATCGTGTGTCACAGTTGAAAAGAAAGGAAAACTTCGCGACGGGTTCGGACAAAACACGGACAAAGATCTCAATTGCCCACTCGCTGCGTACAACCTAAAAAAGAAAAAGTATCGCAGTTTCTTGCGGTGGTTTGCGAGAAATTTTTAAGGAAAAGTAGCCCTAGGGGGAACCTCGTCGCCCATACTGGAAATGCACGCACTCGAACGTACAGATAGTTTACGCCGGCGAGGGTACGCATTGTGTAGGCGCGTATGTGTGCGTGTTGATGGGCGAAAAGAAACGCCGCGCCGCGTGTCCTCTGGAAAAGCATTCGCCGCACACACACCGTAACATACAAAAACATACACGCCCACACACATGCTTCAGCATCTGTTTCTCCCCCACTGTGGCTCCTCTCCCAACCCGCCCCGAAAACGCTCCCAAAGAACATGTTGCTAAAAAAGTAATGGCCGGCTTTGCTTGCTTTGGCCCACTTTGTACACTTGAATGCAAGGCGCGTACCCGGCCAGGGCACTTCACGAATGTAGTCGTGAAGGCCGAGCCCGGCCCGTAGCCAGTGGTCTGGCCCGTACCAGTGCAGATCTCTACCTGCGAAGCTGACGGCTCGCCCCTTTGTTATGACTGGGCAGACATCACCACCTCGCGGCGAGTGAGTGAGCTAGCGCAATTTCACTTTCATCATGCGCTTTCATTTCGATGTGGCGCAAATTTCGCGCGAAATAGTAACAGGTAAGGCAACAAAATGTAGATGTTAGGTCTGGAACACCACCAGACTCAGCCGTGTTGGGAGCATCGCTCGCGAGTCAAACGTGAAAGGTATTGCGCGTCGAACTGTACGTGCGAGTTATCCATTTCAGCGAAAGCTTGATTTCGCAAAACTATTGTGTGTTAGAATATGCACCGTGTTAATGAGCTATGACTATACCCAATCTCAAAAGTTGCGCGCAGTACTTGGAAGCCACGAGCGAGAAATAAATGAAAGTTGATATTGTAGGACAATCGCGACGTGGAGACCCATAAAAGAGAGTCCCGATAAAAAGAGAGCTCCGTCTTTTATCATAATGTAAACAATGTATCGTAATGTAAACGTCTTCCCCTTCTCTTGTAATGTAATGTATCGTAATGTAAACGTCTTCCCCTTCTCTTCAAGTGCTTGGGTTACGCTTTCATTCCTGCACCTTTGGTAACACTGCGCGCACCTAAAATCGCCTCCTTCCCTGAAAAACACCGTGGCCTTCAGAATTGAGGGGAGGAGGAGGAGGAGGAAAAACTTTATTCAAGGAAAAGGCATGAGTGTCTTCTCTCTGGTCGGGAGCCCCTAGTCCAGGGCCCCGTTGGCCTCTGCTATCCGCTTAGCCCGAGAGATCAGCATTCGCTGGTCCTCGGGCTTTGCGCTAGACAGCGCAGCCTCCCAGGAGGTAAAGGATGGGTCAGGGATGGGAAGGATGCCTTGCCCCGGTGGAGAGGGGCAGGCCCAGGTAGAGTGGAAAAGGGAAGGTTCGGGGGATTGGCAGCCGGGACAGGTGCCCCGGTATCTGTTTGGGAAAAATAGATGCTTGTGGTACAAATTTGGGAAAGTGTGTGTTTGTATCTGTCGCCACTCAATCCCTTCCTGCCTAGATAAGTCCCTGTGCGGAGGGGGTAGTGTTCTACGCTGTGATCTGTAAAATGCCGTGATTTGATTGTACGTGTGAAGCGGTGTTGGCTCTGTGCGTAAGTTCGATGTGGTCATGTTGTGATTCTCCGGTGCCTCCCCTTCCCCATGCAACGCCCGGCCGGCTATTTCTCGGGCGAGTGCATCCGCACTCTCGTTGCCAGAAAGGGAGGTATGTCCAGGAGTCCAGACTATCTGGATTGCGGGTAGTGTGCTTTGATTAACTGTGTTTAGAATGTGTCCACTTCGTTGTGAGACGATGCATCGCGCGAACGCCCTGCACGCTGGCTGTGAATCTGTGATTATGGTACAGGTCTTGTCTGTGTTTTCAGTTTTACGCGAAATCTGTGCTACGGCTAATGCTATTGCCGCTTCTTCGGCCTCCGCGATCGATGTGGGAGCGGCGAGAGACGCTATCGCTTCACCTCGTCCAAGCGAGTCGCAGACGACTATGCACTTTGCCTCACGTGGGGAAGTGTACTCCCCAGCGTCAGTGTAACAGACGTCTGGGTCGTTTTGATATTTGAGCCTTAGGTAGCGGGTACGCGCGAGGCGTCTACCTGCATTAAGAGTGGGATGCATGTTCTTTGGTAGGGGCAAAACTCGTATTTTAGCCGCAATGCTCGGTGGGACAGATTTTAGCTGTATGCAGCCCTGTTCTTTTTTAAGTGGTTTGTAGCCCAGCCTGGCTAAGAGATTTCTTCCAGGCTGTGTGTAGCTGAGTCTTGTACGCTGTCCAACAGCCTGAGCCTCAATCAGTTCTTCTATAGTATTGTGAATACCAAGTCGAAGAAGGCGCTGCGTGGATGTATGCTGAGGCAATCCAACCGCCGTTTTTATAGCAGTTCGGAGGATCGTATTGAGGGTGTCTATCTCTCTGCGTTTAAAGTTATGGAAAGGACAATGGTAGGTAACTCTACTTACTAGAAGAGCCTGGACAATTCTCACGGTGTCGGCTTCTTTAAGCCCGCCACGTCCATTGCCCACCCTTCGTATGAGGTGGGCAATCTGCTGGCATTGCCTGCGAAGCATTTGCACGGTGAAGGATGCCTTGCCGTTGGACTGAATATGTAGGCCGAGTACCCTGAGTCTGTCGACTGTGGGTATCTTCTCTCCATTTAGATTTAAACAAATTTCATCTGCTTTAGTGCAAGGTTTGCTTCTAATGAGTAGAAGCTCAGACTTGTCGGCGGCGCAAGTTAGTCCTGCTGCTTCTGCAACCTTCTGAGTGATTTCGACCGCCTCCTGAAGTCCATCCTGTATCTCACCATCCGAACCCTTGCTTGTCCAGATGGTGATGTCGTCTGCATACAGAGCATGCCTGACGTTAGGGATGGCCCCCAGCAGGGTCGGGAGACTTGAAATGGCTATATTAAAAAGAGTCGGTGAAAGGATGGAACCCTGTGGCGTTCCCCTCCCCGAGAGCTTGATGGGCTGGGAGCGAAGATCTCCCAGCCCTAGAGTAGCAGTCCTGTCCGTCAGAAACGCACGGACATAGTCGTAAGTTCTTTTGCCGCAGTGTGCTCTGGTCAAGCCCTCGAGAATGGCGTCGTGAGACACGTTGTCAAAAGCTCCTCTAAGGTCCAGTGCGAGTACCGCTCTCGTCTGCGTTCTTCCAGGAAAGTCTAGGATGTCCTCTTTGAGCTGTAGGAGGACGTCCTGTGCTGACAGATTTTGTCGAAACCCGAACATTGTGTCCCCAAGAAATCCGTTAGCTTCGAGATGGGATTGAAGGCGTCTGAGAACTATGTGTTCCAGAAGCTTACCTATACACGATGTTAGTGAAATGGGACGAAGGTTTTCTAGCGTGAGAGCCTTCCCAGGTTTCGGGATGAAGGTGATCTCGGCGTGTTTCCATTCCGGTGGGAGGACACCGGTACTCCATACCCTGTTAAAGTATGATGTGAGGGCCGAAACGGAGGCATCGTCCAGATTCCTGAGAATCCTGTACGTGACTCCGTCCTCTCCGGGAGCGCTATTGCGGGTTAGGCCAGTGAGTATTCCCCTAACTTCGTATTCAGATATGTCCTGATCCAGCGGATGGTCTGCTTCTTCGTGGGGATATGGGCGGTAGTTTGGTCTGGGGCCGGATGCGATGTAACGTTCCTTTAGGAACTCCCACAAGGCGTTCTCCCCGTTGTGTGCCGTTTGATGAACAAGTTTTATTATAGCCTTGTTGGTTTCGGTCCTACTCTTTGTGGGGTCAAGCAGACTCTTGAGCAGACTCCAGGTCTGCCTGGTTCCTAGGGTACCTTGTAGTTTGTCCCATAGTTTATGCCAATTAGATTGGGTGAGCTCCTCTGCATAACGCTCGGCTTCTTGGGTAATTTTGGCTATGCGAATTTTTAGTTTCCGATTATGTTTCTGTCTTCTCCATCTTTTAGTTAGGCCACGACGGGCTTCCCATAGATGGAGAAGATGCGGGTCAACGACGGGCGCCTTGTCCGTCGTCTGAACTGTCTTGGTTACTCTGTGAATGTCGGCGTGGAGTTTTCTTACCCATTGTGCCAATGGTACGTTTTCATCTATCTCTTCGGCGTTTGTCTGAGCCCTGAGCTGGCGGAACGAGTCCCAGTTGACCAACCGCAGGGCCTTCTTGTGTCTACGATGAGCCTGCACTGGAACTTGAATTTGAATGATAAAATGATCGCTGCCCAGACTCTCCTGGAGGTTGGTCCACGTGCACGGGCCTCTCGCTCTGGCGAGGGAGAGGTCCGGGCACGTGTCGCGGCTCGCGCTGTTTCCTACCCTCGTGGGCTGATCCGGCTCGTTGAGGAGCGTAAGCTGATTTCTGTCTATGGCCGTGGCTAGTTTTCGTCCCTTCACCGACTCTTGATAATATCCCCATGCCGGGTGGGCCGCGTTCAGATCCCCTACTATGAGAAGCGTATTCTCGCTCGGTTTGGTTAAGGCGATAGCGTCTCTAAAAATCGCGTCAAAGGTGTCTTTTCTCGCCCTCGGTGAACTGTACAAATTAAGGACGAAAAGACTGCTCTGTCCGTGTTTCTGCGGGAGCAACTCGAGAAAGACATATGGTATGCCAGTGACCCTTTCTAACTGATGTGGAACGAACGGTAGATGTTTGGCTACGAGAGTGGCTACCCTCGGAGGTACGCCCTCGTGTTCCGGTTTTGAAGCACAAGTCACGTATCCCGAGAGTGCCGGTGTACACGCGGTTTCCTGCATCGCGATAACTTCAGGTTTTTCGTCGAGTGTGGCGAGGAACTGCGTGAGCGCCCCGCGCTTGCGCCGATAGCCCCTGCAGTTCCACTGCCAAACGCGTATGTTACTGGGTGGGCGTTTGCGGAGGACCAGGTGGTCCGCCGCTCTGACTCTGTTACTGTCCCGTTCCATTGTGTTGTTCCTGAGTAAAGTTCTGGGGATGGTTCTGGGATAAGCTTAAGTGCGTAACTGGGGGAGACCCTGTTCCGGACGAGCGGTGTCCCGCTGCCTTGAGGCTCTTTACCCCGAGCCTGTGTCGAGGCATCGCGGAGAGAATGTCTCGAACCAGCTCAGGGAGTTGGGCTCTATTTTCCTTAAGGATTTGTCTACGGGCGTTATCCATGCCAGTCTGCATGTCCCCTTTGAGTGTAGTGGTCATGTGATCCAGTTCCTTGCTAATACCAAGTCTGGCCTCGGCGATCTGTTTGGCTACTTCGCGTTTAAGTTCTTCGCTGAGACCGAGTGGCTCAAGTCTAGATTTTTTAAGCTCCTCCCTAGATCTCTGCATCTCCTCCCTAATCATGCGGAGTTCATCTCGATAGCTCTGCATTTCCTCCCTGAGTTCACGCCTCAAGGTATCCAGGAAGGAAGTGTCGGTGGCACAGGGATTGCTTTCAATGAACGTGTGCTGAGTGTTTTGTTTGTGTGTGTGGTGTTGTGTCCTAACGCTGGATCTAGGAGCGGGAGAAGGGGGGCATGCGGGGAATTGGGAGGGAGTGAGAGGCTGCTGCCCTGTCCAGCTCACCTTCGGGGCCTCTGGACCGGGGCTCCTTGATTTTCGGGTTTCAGCTTCCTGCGCCGACCGTTGTTGCTGCATCCTCCGTCTCGACCGGGATCGGGCTCGGCTGCGGGAGCGAGATCTCGCCTTGGATCTGCTCCGGGCCCGCTTGGATCCGGAGCGGGTGTCTGAACCTTGAGGGCCCGTCGACGTTGGGCTGCTGTCGAGTGTTTCAGAGGCCAGCAGAGCGTACGGGTTGTGGTTCGCCCATCTCCTCGTTGGTAGTCGTGGCCACTGCTCCTCGGGGAGTGCAGCCTGGGTCGCTTGCCCGGGTTGAAGCGGTGAAGCCACGTGCTGGGGCCGTTGACTTCCCTGCTGATGGCGGCCGTGTTGTTGTTGCTGCAGGTACTTCTGAACGCGTGACTTGTTGTACGGAGCTCGCTGCCTTGCGGGGCATCGAGGGTCCGTAGCCGGGTGAGCCCCGCAACAATTCACGCATTTCGCTTCGCATTCGTGCGAATCCATGGCACTGCCTTCAGTTCCACACTTCGGGCATCGTTGCTTTTCAGGCTGAGGGCACACGTCCTCTCGGTGTCCTAGTCCTAGGCACTTAGTGCAGACTTGTTTTTTGGGTCTGTAGACCCTGCACTCAAATTCGCCGCCATCGATATACACTAGGCGGGGAACCCTGAGTCCGTGAAAAGTGATGATGGCTGAGGTCGTACTACCCATCATTCGAGCGTTCAGGACTATGTAGTTGGTGTTCCGTGCGTTGAGTTCTTCAGTGAGCCACTCGGACGAGGGCCGAGATGTGAGGCCCGAGATGACCCCCTTACAGGAGTCGTCCGGCATGGCGGCGTAAGGTTTTACTCGGAACTGCTTTTCTCCGAGTGCGATGGAGGAGATATTGCAAAGTCGCTCCAACGTGTCGACACTTGGAGTGCTCACAACGGCCAAGTTCTGGTCCTTACGGAGCCTCGTCTTGATTTCCGCAGTCTCGAGAGGAGTGAGCTTCGCCGCCAACTTGATGGCTCGGTAGACTTGATCGGGGCCCCAAGCTCCGAGGTTCAGACCATCCAAGGGGCGGACGACCACTTTGTAATCCTCAATCGGTAGCGGTGGGAGCTGTCGCTTCTGCGGTTTCGACGTCTGGCGGGTTTTTGCGCCCGTTGGCATCTTGCCGGGGGGTGGTTGCTCGTCGTTCCGTCTAGATTCTTCTAGAGTCTTCCGGTAGGCCTGGTTTTGAAGTCTTTGTTGTTTCCGGCTAAGTATCTTGATCCAGGGCGGAAAGTTTGTCTCCTCTGCTGACTGCTGCTCGTCATTACCGGGGGTATTATTGGTATGGACTTCGCCCTGCACCTCGTCCATATCCTCGAGTTCGGGCATGGTGTTTCCATCAGTCTCTTGATTTCCGATTGCCTGTCCAGTCGGCTCCATGCTTGGGTAGCCCGGGGGGTGGGGGAGGGACCCCCGGACGCCCACTCGACGGCGAAGAGCGCCGCCGGCGCGCCGGTGAAGTAGGCTTCGCTGGGTATAGCTACTTTTCCCCGCGTTCTAGTGGTTTTGGTCAAAACTGGTGAAAATTTGGCTCACCCAGTCAAAGGTTGCTTCCGGGGGTCCGCAGCGGTGAGGACTTTCGGTGGAAGTAGTTTTTGCCCGGTCCTCCGGGTATCTGCAAACCGGCACTTCTTCCAGTGCAGGCGCCGCTATCACT